CGTCTCTCTCATCATCATCACGGTGGGTATGAGATGTTAACTACCTCTCCTGGTGTACAGGAGGTCGTGGTGTGTGCGTCTCTCTCATCATCATCACGGTGGCTAGGAGATGTTAACTACCTCTGTTGGTGTACAGCAGGTCGTGGTGTGTGCGTCTCTCTCATCATCATCACGGTGGATAGGAGATGTTAACTACCTCTCCTGGTACACAGGAGGTCGTGGTGTGTGCGTCTCTCTCACCATCATCACGGTGGCTAGGAGATGTTAACTACCTCTCCTGGTACACAGGAGGTCGTGGTGTGTGCGTCTCTCTCATCATCATCACGGTGGCTAGGAGATGTTAACTACCTCTCCTGATACACAGGAGGTCGTGGTGTGTGCGTCTCTCTCATCATCATCATCACGGTGGCTAGGAGATGTTAACTACCTCGCCTGGTGTACAGGAGGTCGTGGTGTGTGCGTCTCTCTCATCATCACGGTGGCTAGGAGAAGTTACCTACCTCGCCTGGTGTACAGGAGGTCGTGGTGTGTGCGTCTCTCTCACCATCATCACGGTGGCTATGAGATGTTAACTACCTCGCCTGGTGTACAGGAGGTCGTGGTGTGTGCGTCTCTCTCATCATCACCACGGTGGTTATGAGATGTTAACTACCTCTCCTGGTACACACGAGGTCGTGGTGTGTGCGTCTCTCTCACCATCATCACGGTGGCTAGGAGATGTTAACTACCTCGCCTGGTGTACAGGAGGTCGTGGTGTGTGCGTCTCTCTCATCATCATCACGGTGGCTAGGAGATGTTAACTACCTCCCTGGTACACAGGAGGTCGTGGTGTGTGCGTCTCTCTCATCACATCACGGTGGCTAGGAGATGTTAACTACCTCGCCTGGTGTACAGGAGGTCGTGGTGTGTGCGTCTCTCTCATCATCACGGTGGCTAGGAGATGTTAACTACCTCTCCTGGTACGCAGGAGGTCGTGGTGTGTGCATCTCTCTCATCATCATCACGGTGACTAGGAGATGTTAACTACCTCTCCAGGTGCACAGGAGGTCGTGGTGTGTGCGTCTCTCTCATCATCATCACGGTGTCTAGGAGATGTTAACCACCTCTCCTGATGTACAGGAGGTCGTGGTGTGCGTCTCTCTCATCATCATCACGGTGTCTAGGAGATGTTAACTACCTCTCCTGGTGTAGAGGAGGTCGTGATGTGTGCGTCTCTCTCATCATCATCACGGTGGCTAGGAGATGTTAACTACCTCTCCTGGTACACAGGAGGTCGTGGTGTGTGCGTCTCTCTCATCATCATCACGGTGGCTAGGAGATGTTAACTACCTCTCCTGATACACAGGAGGTCGTGGTGTGTGCGTCTCTCTCATCATCATCATCACGGTGGCTAGGAGATGTTAACTACCTCGCCTGGTGTACAGGAGGTCGTGGTGTGTGCGTCTCTCTCATCATCACGGTGGCTAGGAGAAGTTAACTACCTCGCCTGGTGTACAGGAGGTCGTGGTGTGTGCGTCTCTCTCATCATCACGGTGGCTAGGAGAAGTTAACTACCTCTCCTGGTGTAGAGGAGGTCGTGATGTGTGCGTCTCTCTCATCATCATCACGGTGGCTAGGAGATGTTAACTACCTCTCCTGGTACACAGGAGGTCGTGGTGTATGCGTCTCTCTCATCATCATCACGGTGGGTATGAGATGTTAACTACCTCTCCTGGTGTACAGGAGGTCGTGGTGTGTGCGTCTCTCTCATCATCATCACGGTGGCTAGGAGATGTTAACTACCTCTGTTGGTGTACAGCAGGTCGTGGTGTGTGCGTCTCTCTCATCATCATCACGGTGGATAGGAGATGTTAACTACCTCTCCTGGTACACAGGAGGTCGTGGTGTGTGCGTCTCTCTCACCATCATCACGGTGGCTAGGAGATGTTAACTACCTCTCCTGGTACACAGGAGGTCGTGGTGTGTGCGTCTCTCTCATCATCATCACGGTGGCTAGGAGATGTTAACTACCTCTCCTGATACACAGGAGGTCGTGGTGTGTGCGTCTCTCTCATCATCATCATCACGGTGGCTAGGAGATGTTAACTACCTCGCCTGGTGTACAGGAGGTCGTGGTGTGTGCGTCTCTCTCATCATCACGGTGGCTAGGAGAAGTTACCTACCTCGCCTGGTGTACAGGAGGTCGTGGTGTGTGCGTCTCTCTCACCATCATCACGGTGGCTATGAGATGTTAACTACCTCGCCTGGTGTACAGGAGGTCGTGGTGTGTGCGTCTCTCTCATCATCACCACGGTGGTTATGAGATGTTAACTACCTCTCCTGGTACACACGAGGTCGTGGTGTGTGCGTCTCTCTCACCATCATCACGGTGGCTAGGAGATGCTAACTACCTCGCCTGGTGTACAGGAGGTCGTGGTGTGTGCGTCTCTCTCATCATCATCACGGTGGCTAGGAGATGTTAACTACCTCCCTGGTACACAGGAGGTCGTGGTGTGTGCGTCTCTCTCATCACATCACGGTGGCTAGGAGATGTTAACTACCTCGCCTGGTGTACAGGAGGTCGTGGTGTGTGCGTCTCTCTCATCATCACGGTGGCTAGGAGATGTTAACTACCTCTCCTGGTACGCAGGAGGTCGTGGTGTGTGCATCTCTCTCATCATCATCACGGTGACTAGGAGATGTTAACTACCTCTCCAGGTGCACAGGAGGTCGTGGTGTGTGCGTCTCTCTCATCATCATCACGGTGTCTAGGAGATGTTAACCACCTCTCCTGATGTACAGGAGGTCGTGGTGTGCGTCTCTCTCATCATCATCACGGTGTCTAGGAGATGTTAACTACCTCTCCTGGTACGCAGGAGGTCGTGGGTTTGATCCCGACCCTGACGCCTGCTGTGTATTTGGATCTTGTGTGTCTCCTTTCTTGCACAGGGATATTGAGCGTTCAGGTCCTTACGGCGTACAGCCGTTTCAATATGGCAACAACAACAAACATCGGGCGGCCAATTAAACAAAAAAAGTCGAGGGACAGCTTGTTTTGTTTCCTCTGGGGAGTATTGTTGTACATTACAACATGAGCGTGTGCATCCACATGTCATGCAAGCAGCAGCATCAGCATGCAAGATCACAGACGGCAGCATCATTGACACCAATTATCACAATTAATACATAAAACTGTTTTTGTTGATTAGAAACATACTTTTTGTTGTCTATTTGTGTTTCTCCCTTGTGATGGGACTTTGTAAGATAAACGTTGAGATTTGTAAGGGGCACGGGGTGACCAATAAGGTCTGAATTGGTCTGTAATAAGGTAGGGGCACTGATAAGGGGTTGACAGCTGTGCTGACTTAATTTGAAGCTTTCGTGACTGCAGGAATCCATACTCTTTGGTTCTTTCGGTAAAGTCACGTAGGTAGAAAATAAAATATATCACGACGTTTCGGGCGCAACACAAGCGTCCGTCATCAGGTGGGACAGCAGCAGCAGATCATGCTTTCTCATTGCAGACCATGCTTACTGATTGCAGATCATGCTTTCTCATTGTAGATCATGCTTTCTCATTTCAGATCATGCTTTATCATTGCAGATCATGCTTTCTCATTGTAGATCATGCTTTATCATTGCAGACCATGCTTACTGATTGCAGATCATGCTTTCTCATTGCAGACCATGCTTTCTCATTACAGATCATGCTCTCATTGCAGATCATGCTTTATCATTTCAGATCATGCTTTCTCATTACAGATCATGCTTTCTCATTGCAGACCATGCTTACTGATTGCAGATCATGCTTTCTCATTGTAGATCATGCTTTCTCATTTCAGATCATGCTTTCTCATTTCAGATCATGCTTTCTCATTGCAGATCATGCTTTATCATTGCAGATCATGCTTTCTCATTACAGATCATGCTTTCTCATTTCAGATCATGCTTTCTCATTACAGATCATGCTTTCTCATTACAGACCATGCTCTCCCACCTGATGATGGACGCTTGTGTTGAGCCCGAAACGTCGTTATTTATTTTATTTTATACCCACGTGACTTTACCGAAAGAACCAAAGAGTTATCGGTACGATGACGCCTGTTGTATATTTGGATATGATAATAAAAATTGTTTTTAACCTTTCTGGCAATAAAACAGGTGTTAAGATATTTTTGGTTCTTTCGGTAAAGTCACGTAGAAGGGAAACAATAAAATAATAAAAATATAAAACAATAAAATTCTCACGACGTACGTTTCGACTGCAACACAAGCAATCATCATCAGGTGTGAAAACCACAGCAAGAAAATTTGAAAAAAAGTGGCGGTTTTTTTTTACGTTAGCACCACGGAGAGCGATTTGGCAGTTTGTTTAGAAGGACAAGTCCATCTATGTTCGGAAAATAGGAGGGGGGAGACGAAAATAATGGATGCGGTCTGAAAGCCACCGTAAGCGTGAACAATCAATTCAGACCCGAAATGGTTTATCAAATCCTTCCAATGATTGCTAAGCCAGAATCCATCTTCTCGGTTGAAATTGTCTCTGTGTTTGTATATGTGGATAGCATCATGAACGAATCTCTCATGGTAGCCAGATGGCTTGCAAATAACCTCTGTCTTGGAGAAGTCAATGTCATGTGAGCCTACTGAATTATAACAGTGATCTGCCACGGCCGAGGTGTTGGTCCTATCGTATTTTAGGTCTGCTTTGTGTTCACGAATGCAGTCCGAGACATGTCGTTTGGTTTCTCAAATGTAACTACTACCACAGAGGCAACTTAGTTTGTAGATGCCAGGGTACTGTGTGTCCGGAATCACATCTTTTACAGACGGAACCAGATCACGGATTTTATGTAATGTGTTGAATCGGACCTGGATCTTGTGTTTATTCAAGATTTTGGAGATCTTTTTTGTGATCCCCGCAATGTAGGGTAAAGTGATGGTTATGAAAGGCTCAAGAGGGTCCTTCTTCATGGTTGGAGTGATAGCTTTGCGGATTGTGTAGTCGGAGTAACCATTAGCCCTAGAGCCTGGTGTACGTGCTTGAGTTCACTGGCTATGTGTTCCTGGTCGGATATGCATTGGGCTCTATGGTGCAGAGTCTTGATAAGGGAATTCTTCTGTGATGGATGGTGGTGGGAATCCGGTTTCAGGTAAGCATCCGTATGGGTAGCTTTCCTGTAGACAGAGTGGCTCATTGAATATGAATCCCTGCAGTCACGAAAGCTTTAAATCCAAATTTAGGTGTTAAGATGTTAAAACAGTTCCCATATTTTATATTTGGAGTTTGTGCGTCTCTCTCCCCGTGGTCGGTTGGATTTTTCTCCGGGTCCTTCGGTTTTTCCCTACACATTTAGAATCGACAACACCACGCATTTAGAGTCTTTGGCTGCGATACATTTCCACACGATAAACCACTTAATTGGACTATCATTTGTGGACAAAGTAGCTGATAAAAAAAGCTATATACCTCAGAGGGCCATACCTGGTAAAATAAAAACAATAAAGTATTAAAGCTTTCGTGAATGCATAAAATTACTAATTTACAGACTTTACCGAAAAAAACAATGAGTAAAATAAAAACAATTTGTTTATATTCTTGATTCTTTAGGTAAAGTCACGTTGAAGGGAAAACAATAAAATAAGAAAATGTTTTCCCTTCAACGTGACTTTACCGAAAGAACCAAGAATATGAATCACTGCAGTCACGAAAGCTTTACATAAAATTTTTATTTGTTTATAGTTTCAAAATGATGAATAGTGGTATCAGTTTGACATATCTATATTTTTACAATAAAAATATTTGCGTGGCCCGTACGGGGATCGAACCCGCGACCTTGGCGTTATTAGCACCACGCTCTAACCAACTGAGCTAACCGGCCAGCCGGCAACCCGATTCGCCTAAGCCCAATATATCACTCAATACAAGACGGGTGAACGATGTTGCTTTAAAACAATATTTACGTTGCTAAATTTAAGAGAGACAAACCACAGACAAGGAGACACGGAGACAGCCACATAAGCAAATAGAAATAACACAGAGACGCACAGAGAGAGACACACATAGGCACACAGAAAACAACGCCTCTGTCTAAGGGCCTTAAATGTTTTTTTTTTATTCCAAAAATATTCGACGACATGCTACGAAAAGTAAAGCTGTGACACATCGATCTTCAACTAATTGTGAAGCAAAAATAAGAAAAATAACGATCGATCACGTGGTTTAGTAACCGTCGCCGTGGGAACGAAGAGACTTTCCGAATACATAGTCCGGATAAGCGCGTGCTGCGCGCCGATTAGACGAACGGCGCCCCACGTGACCCGCAACTCCCCCCCCCCCGCCGCTGCCTCCACTTATACAGAGTGGGAAATCCAAACGGCTCCCTGTCGGCGTTAAGTTGCCGCTTGGAATCGGGAGCGAGCCGCGTTATAAGCGGCGCTTTGCGAGCGTCGAGCCACGATTTAAACCGCGAGGTGAGCGTTCCGCGTGGCGATGTACAGCCGAGCGCGGTTGGGCGAATGTCCGTTGTGTAAAAAGAAAGTTTAAAAAAAAAAATTGCCTCCTCTGTTCGACTAGCCGCCGCGGGCAAGATAGGCCCGAAAACAAAAGTCTGATTAAAATGTTTTAAATGATCAATACTTTAACTTAATTAGCATAATTACTGCGTATGTTTGTAATGTTCAAAACGAAGCTTGCCGGTATCGGGTAGTAATAGCCACTAAATGCACTTTTAAAGCAAGGCCGAAAAAAATAATGTATTCAAGACTTTAGTTGCGCTGTCCGTCCACCGCACCTCCGTCGGGCACGGGTTTTGGGCCACGTACGGTGCGAAAGAAGTCCACCACCACACGCACATGCAGACACATACAGTGTTGGACCGCGTTTCCAGAGCCTCCCGTTCAACGCTCTGCGCCGTCACGAACGCGCGGTGGGCCAGCGAGGCGCGGCTCTGCACGAGTCGCCCTCACGACCGGCGCAAGCGAAAACCTGCGGTGGATTTTGACAGGATTGACCTGTGGACATCATGACCACAGTGCGAGCCTCGGACGAACGCTCGCGATAAACTTGAGAAATGCCCCTCCATCTAGTGGTGGATCTAGCGGTGCGCGCGTTAATGTGGTCGCAGCAATCGGCGACCGTGTCGGAACATCACCAGGCTTGTGGCGCACATCTTCGTAAACGGAGTATTATAAAGACACCGCGCCACAGTCAAATGCGATTGTGGCCATGCAAACCAAACTGTGGACCGCGCCGTAGAGTCCACCACTGTAGTCTTTGTGGTGCGCCTAAACCAACAAGAGGGTTCGCAGAACTACACGAACTCGTATCAGCATTGTGCAATCCGGCGTTGACTGTGGCACTGCCAGTTGCGAGGTCTGGCAGCAAGAGAGCGCGGTCGCGTGTCGGTGATGACCTCTTGAACTTGACGCCTTGACCTCTGCCCCAGGTGCAGCAGCAGTAGCCATCGAGCAAAGAAGACGGTCGCCACCGCATCGCGCGGCGCTTTCAGATTCGCATCTACGGCCGCCTGGAACGCTCAAACTTCCGATATTAGAAAGCCACTGGGAGCTAAGGCACTTTTAAATCATCGTCGTCTAGGTTGACAAACTAATGTCTTTGGAACTTCTTGTTTTGTTTAGTTTGTTGTCCTTTCCCCGCACTTCGATTAGAGCTGTTGGCTACGTACGGTTGCGAAAGAAGTTCAACTTACGTCCATGCGTAGTTGCGAGATCTGGCATCGAGAGACAGCAGTCGCAAGTCGGTGATAACCTCTTGAACGTGATGCCTTGGCCTGTACCCCCAGGTGCAGTATCAGCAGCAGCAGCCGCCGCCAGTGGCGGCGGCGATGGGCCAGCAGTATGTGAAGCCGGCATCTTCGGCACGACACGCCACGCTGAGTGGGCACCGCTACGGACGCCGGCACGCGTACGTTGGCTTCCGGCCCGAGCGGGCAGCCCCTGACGCCGAGACGGCGACTCCAGCGTCGCCTCATCCGCCGCCGACACCGCCCCCTGGCGGGATCTCCGCGTCTCCCGCCGCCACTGCCACCACTGCGTCGCGTGTGAGACGAGGGTGCGACGGGCCAGGTGCGCTGTGTTTCTGAGTGTGCGAGAGAAGAGGCAGGTGGTGGAGGGCAATTTGGGTGATGCGCGTGAAGGGAATTTTCAAACGTGGACTTTTTTCAAATCGGTGCATGTGAAATTTGCATATGAACAATTTCCCATTGCAGGAGGTAGGGTTCTAATGATGAATAATTCTATTGTTTTAATTAGATTTTTAAAAAATATATATATAGATGAATAAAACTACCACATGGCCCCCTACAGGAATCTAACCGATGCGTGTTGGCGTTATTAGCACCACGCTCTAACCAACTGAGCTAACCGGCCAGCCGGCAACACGCTCTATCTAGGCCCTGTATATCACTCGGCACCGTTAAAAAAATTAGGAAAAAAAATCCCAAAATCGGCGCGCCAGGGTTTAACGGAGGGGAAAATGCAGGTCCTCTGCGAGTGGGAGCATGAAAGCTTTTGTGGGGAGGATGAGGGATAAGATGACTAGCATAATGGGGGGTAGATAGGGGGCTGGGAACGGGTGGGGAGCAGGGGGGGAGGGTTTAATAGATGGTAAAAATGAAAGGTGCATCCCTCGAGTAAAGGTGACTCAGTGCCCACGTGACTGCAAACACGTCGGCAATAAACTGATTACTCTAACAATCAGTAAAACAGAAGGCACATTCTTTGTATTCACCCACATTCTGCGTAGATAGACAGTGTATGATGTTTCTATTGCCCAATCAACACGTATTTTTGATTATTTGTGTTTTTTTTGTTTTATTGAGGCCACCCCCCTTGCCCCCACGAGCCCACATAATGGAACCACGACTGTGTTTGCCGACAGATCTGCGGGGTCACTGCTACGCCGGCGAGCGTCCCAACAGCGACGGAGATTGCGAGCCCGCCGTGAACAAGCGGGAGCCTCCTCGACGCTCCACTCGCAGCAGAGCCGCAAGGGATGGAGCTACCGCCGCTGCTGCTGCTTCTGCAGGCTCAGCTGCTGCCGCTACTGGTGGCGCTATCCCGAAAGTCCGGAAGAAATGTAGCAAGCGCAGCAGATCTTCGAACGAAGGCAGCAGCAGCGGTTGTGACGTTTCTGGTTTCAGGTCGATGATTGAGGAGGCCGTTGCTGCTGCCGCCGCTACCGCCACAGCTGCTGCTTCGGAGGAACGTCCGGAGAAAGAAGCGGGAAGCGGCGGGGAAGCGGGTCGCAGCTCACAGCAAACAAGACAAGGCGCTGGTGAAGCAAGAAGCGGCCGGGAAGCGAGACGCGGCAGAGAGAAGGGGGGTTTCAGGGAAACCAAAAGCTGTATGGAAGCAAGAAGCAGCAGCAGGGATGCAAGGGACGACAGAGTTGGGAGAAGCAGCGGTGGACGAATTCGAGGCACAAAGACGGAGAGAAACGTCCGAGAGTCGAGAAGCAGCAGCAGAGAGGAAAGAAATAGCAACGGGGAAGCGAGATGCAGAATCGGAAAAGCGAGCATTGTTGGGGGAATCGTAAGCGGCAGTAGCAGAGGAGAGAGAATTGTTGGCGACGGACAAAGCTGCGTGATGAAGATAAGTACTAGGGCAGCAAGAAGCAGTAGTAGGGAAACGAGAAGCAGGAGCAGAGAAGTCAACATGAGCAGGAAAAAGAGAAGCAATGGAAAACCAAGAGGCAGCAGCAGCAGAAAAGCAAGAGGCGGCGAGGAAGCAAGAAGCAGCAGGGGAGAACGAAGCAGTGGGGATGATGAAAGCAGCGGGGAAGCAAGAAGCAGTGGCTGGAAAGCGGGGAGCAGTAGCAGGGAAGCAAGAAGCAGAGGGAAAGCGAGAAGCAGCAGGAAAAAGAGAAACTTTGAAGGAATCGGAAGCATTGGAGAAACGAGAAGCAGTCGTGGAGCAGCCAGAAGCGACCATGGTGAAGCAAGAAGCGGAGGGGAAGCTGGAAGCAACGGGGCTGCCGACAGGGACGAATCGGCGTCCATCTTGTTGTCCCTGCTTACTCCATGGGCTCAGATGTCGCCCGAGTCGGACAGAGACAGCAGGTGAACACGAGCACACATCACAGACACACACCACTCGCACACCACAAACACGCACATTGCACAATGTCGAGTAGATTCAAAGTGTTTGTCTTTGTGCTGCTGTTGGGAGCGGCAGTGTCGCGGCTCACGCGCTGCGCTATGAACCCGGCAGTCCAGGTTCGATTCCCAGTCACAGCCAACACCAGTGACAATTGGGCCTCCCCTAGGTCGACTTGGCCTCAATTGAGTACCTGGTGTGATGTTAAAAACATTGCCACTAGGGAGACAAAGGCGGTCGGGCGTGGCGCTGTCAACCCACCTCGTGTGCCATACCAGCCTTCGCAGGTGCAACTGCTAACAGCACTTGCCCCAACAGTCTGTTGCAAGCTATACGGGGGTGGGATCTTAGTCTTTGTGTGCGTGTGTCGCTGTGTCGCACAGCGGAGTGGAGGATGGCGACGGGCGCGACTCGGACGACTCGAGCTGGGAGACGTTCTCCCTCTCGGATCAGCGGGTCCCCTTCATCAGCGGCAGCAGTAGCAGCAACAACAACAGCATCTCCTACATGGACTACGACTATGATGACGTCGATGATATCATCGATCAGGGCCACGTCAACTTGGATGACGTGGATGACGACGACGACGACTATGATAACGACTTGGGGCTCTTACTCGCGATCGACAGTTACCACCGTGCTTTGTACGTCCACACGATTGGAATATTTACTGATACTGGAGGAATCCGATGAGCTATCAAGCTCTTTTTTATTACTGACACTGAGCCCGCACCGCAGAGACCCTGTGTTTGGAAACCCTGAGGCCGAGTTTTGGTTTACACCCTGCACTCACACGCACTCGCCCTACACTCGCACAGAGTCACCTTATACTCACAGATACTCTACACTCACACACAGTTAACCTTTACTCGCTCACAATCTCGCTACATTCGCACTCACGCTACACTCGCCCTACACGCACTCGCCCTACACACCGACCCTACACTCACTCACCCTACACACCGACCCTACACTCACACACACACTACCTTACACACACTCTTACACTACACTCACAAACACTGACCCTACACTCAAACACACTCACCCTGTACTCACTCACACACTCACCCTACTTTTACTTACCTGTAGTTAATCCAAGTTCTCAAGTGAGTTAAAAAATATATTAATTTATGCGTGCACACAACACCATGCATATTCACGAGATTGCCGCGTACAATATACTTGTTTGAGGAATATACATTTACAGTGTTGCCATGTAACACCTACACACAACAGTCACGCTTGGAGGTCATAATCAAATTTTAAGATTCCATTATGATCATCGTCGTCTCTGTGTTTTACGTGTCGCACCTTCCGTCCCTTTCTCTCTTAAGCGGTGGTAATTCCACATTCCTATGGCAGGGGTGAGTCTATCCAGAGGACAACCACTGTTCACTTCTCCCTCAAAGTGTTTCGCACTTTACCTGTCGCAGACGGATGAGTCAACCCCCCCAACCAAGATTTTGACCCAGCTAGATATTAAGATATACAAACATACTCTTTGGTTAAATTTTGATTTAAAGCTTTCGTGACTGCAGTAATTCATATTCTTAGTTCTTTCGGTAAAGTCACGTTGAAGGGAAACAACAAAATAATAATATATATATAAAACAATAATTCTCACGACGTTTCGACCATAACACAAACGGTCGTCTTCGGTAAAGTCACGTAGGTATAAAAATAAAACAAACAATAGCTGCTGGTGATATATATAATATATCACCAGCAGCTGGTTCAGCAGTTCCACTGTGTTGCGATCGAAACGTGATATATTATTTTTTGTTTTATTTTATTTTTCTACCTACGTGACTTTACCGAAAGAACCAAGGAGTATGGATTCCTTGCAGTCACGAAAGCTTCAAAACAAGATATACAAAGTATAATTTGCATAAATCAAAATACATTCCATGTGCAAGTCGATGTGTGTATTGCGATCTTGATTGGCGTTGTCATTGATTAAGCAGTTAAGGTCATCGACTAATGTCCACGTTTTACGATTCTTATTTTTATTATTTTATCGAGGTGATGCGTTGTGCCCGTTGCGGATTGTGATTCTTCGTGGGGGGGGGGGGGGGGGGAAACACAAACGGCCCAACCCAAAAAACCGGCGTCAAGTTTTTGCCAGAGACACGGCCCGCACCAGCGTCGGTGTCCGCCTCGTTTACCCTTCTAAACCGCATGCGCTCGCGCGTCTCCCGCGCGTCTGCGTTGTTCATCCTCAAGGCAACCCCTGGTCCTGGACATGTCGAGCGATGACGGCTCCTTGGAGGAGCTCTTCAACGGCGGCGACGACGACGACGAGTCGGAGGGAGAAACCCCGGCCGTTAGCGACGCCTCCTTGATCGACGTCGGCGATCTCGCCCAAGAAGGCTTGAGGTAGGAAACTTTTTCACGACGCTTTTGCGCCCACCCCGTCTGCACGCACACGCGCGCGCTCGCTCACGTGCGTTGAACGTCTTTCGCCAAACGTACGTAGCCATCCGTGCTAATCGGAGGTGCCAGGATCTTGCCGACGAAAAGCCTCACCATTTGTTGGGAGGATCTTGCGTTGGGGTGCTTGGCCAGTTGCATCGTTGGCATCACGTGGGACGAATTCAGATTGCCCTGAGAAAACCCCTGCCGTTTGAGGGGATGATACGGTGGACTGGAAATTCCACGGTTCCATCATTTTAACAGGCCGATTTGCCATATTAAATCCAGAGACTAGGGAACGTCGCTCAATCTGTGCAGGCTGTCTTGTCGCCAAATTAAAACTCGGCACCCCCCCCCCCTCTCCACCGTCTCTCTCCCGCTCAGGAATCTCTTGCAGCGGCCGCCACCGTGGGTGCTGCGTGAAGAGGAGCTGCGCTTCAGCGGCGACGACGGTGACGACGAAGGCGATGGCGGCGATGGTGGCGATGGTGGCGGCGCCGACCGTGGTGATGATGATGATGATGCTGATGACGGTCACGGTGACGACGACGACGATGATGATGGCGATGATGCCTCGGAGGGGGAGGCATATTTCTTCAATTCCGCAGACACGGCAATGGCCAGCAACGAGTTTGTGTCCGACTTCAGGTGAGAGATTTGTATTTTTTTTTACGTGCAGCAAATGATCCGTTTATTATCCGGCACCCATTCGGAATGGAGGGTGCCGGTTAATCAAATATGAGGGTTATCGGAGAGTTATACTCATTGTTCACCAAAACTAAACTGTTGAACTGTTAATAGTTTGTTAGATTTCCCTAATATTTCTATTCACGAATCGATTGTATAATTTCTAGTGTCTGCCGCCTACATTTCATCTCATTTGATGGTAAAATGGATGTTAGAATTAACTATTCAGCTAAGCTATTTTGTTTTACCAGGTAAGACCCACTGAGATATGTAGACCTTTTTCAGAAGCGATCTGGCTATCGCAAATGATAGCTCAACGGAAGTTACCTATCGTGTGGAGATTTAAAGTAGCCAAAGACTCTAAACCCGGAAAAAAATCCACGCGACCAGCGAAAGAGAGACACGCAGACTCCAAATATACAGCAGGCGTCAGGGTCGCGATTGAACCCACGACCTCCTGTATACCAGGCGAGGTAGTTAACATCTCGCCCCTGTGGCACCAAATTTTCCAAGTACATAAAACTTTTCAAGAAGGAAACTAAGCCTACGTAATATAAGACGTAATATAATATATATTCTTAGCTCTTTCGGTAAAGTCACGTTGAAGGGAAACAATAAAATAATAAAATATATATACCATAACACAAACGGTCATTTGTGTTATGGTCGAAACGTCGTGAGAATTTTTATTGTTTGATATATATTTTATTATTTTATTGTTTCCCTTCAACGTGACTTTACCGAAAGAGCTAAGAATATGAATTACTGCAGTCACGAAAGCTTTAAATCAAAATGTAATATCATATTTTACTGTTGTAGAGCATTCTTAGTTGATTGTAGAGAAGCAGTCTTATAGTACAGTATACAGTAGTAAACGATGAGAGAATATCGGTGATTGCATGCGTGCGTGTGCATGTGAGGAGCGGTGGTGCATTGGTTAGCGCACTACGCTACGAACCCGGCGACCTGAGTTCGATTCCCGCTCTGCTATCTAAATAGGTCCTGAGCCTCCCCTAGGTCGACTCGGCCTCAAATGAGTACCTGGTGTGGCATGCAGTAAACATCGCTACTTGGGGAGCAAGGCGGCCGGGCGTGGTGCTGGCCACCCACCCCCTCGTGTGCCACAGTGCCAGCCTTCGAACGTGCTACTACTCGCTATAATAGCACTTGCCCCAGCAGTCCATTGAAGCTATACGGGGGGGGATCTTTGTCTTTGTTCTCATTTCAGTCTGACAGCCGAGGCCTTCAACCCAGAACATTATCCTCTCTTTGCTTGGGAAGATCGGCTGTCTGCCGTTTTCGAGGTAAGTACACACGCGTGGGTTGGGTTTTCTCCCGGGTGATCCAGTCTTCTGCCATGTGTAAGAGCTCATTGATTGGCCATTAACACCCTTAACCCTTTCCCGTTCCGAGACGTCTTGCAACTTGCAGGTTGGCGGGGTGGGGGGGGGGAGTCCCGTTCACCGCTGAATCTCGGAATGCGAAAGTGGTTCAGCCTTAATTTTATTTATAGAGGCGTAGTGCCGTTGTGTTTTTTAAAGACATTGTACATCACTGCGGAGAACCGTAGCGGTACGACCGCATCTTACGATAGCTGGCGCCAAACTGTGCCATGCGCCCTTCCCCATGGCCTTGTGGGAGCCTCAAAAATTCCGTTAACCATCTGGCGACCCGAGTTCGATTCCTGCCTCTCACGGCCCTCGCCAGTGACGATTATTTGAACTGGTCCTGGTGCTCCCCCTTGGTCGACCCAGCCTCAAATTAGTCCCTGATACAGTGTGCAAACATCACCACAGGGGAGACAAAGAGGGTCGGGCGTGGTGCTGTCGACCCACGCCCTGTCGTGTGCCGTGCTGGCCTTCGTAGGTGCTCGCTAACAGCACTTTCCCCGACAGTCTGTTACAGGCTATTCTAAGGGTTCTTTTATTTTTATTGTCTCTGTCCACGCAGAGTGCCGTTGCTAACCTGCAGGCCCTCATCGCCGACGTCAACGGGATTCAATTCCAGCCTGCCCCGGCCTCCAGCGAGCTCATATCGAGTCTGCCTGTCTTCTTCATCAATGACAATGGTATCTGCCACCAACCACACTCCCCACATTATTGTTGTTCTTCCCCGCACCTCCGATTTGCACCGTTGGCTCCATACGGTGCGAAAGAAGTTTAACATACACACCAATACCCCGCCATTTGCCACGAGTGATGGTGACGTCACCACGGCGCCTGTGCCAGGCCAGGTGCACTTTTAGGCCATGTGAAGTGTCGAAGGCTCACTGACAGGAGGTCTCGGTGCCGTGGCTTAGCTGACTGAGATGACCGCTAGATGCACCGGCTGTACCCCCTACTGTGCTAACGTGCAGCATTTTATCCGCCCGGCGTTCCGCTCGTTGTTGTGAGCATCGCTCCTCTGCCCTCAGTTGTTGTTGAAGAGCGACTGCCCAGTAGCGTCTTTCACGAGCCTCCTCCATATATACATACACACCCACGCACTCACCCACACACTCACCCCTGCACCTCGGATTAGCACGGTTGGCTACGTACGGTGCGAAATAAGTTCAACATACATACATACTGCACATAGACTAACAGTACCCATAGACTAACACTACCCATAGACTCAACACTGTATCTCCGATTAGCACGGTTGGCTACGTACGGCGCGACAATCAATCCATTCATCATCATTTACTGTCATCACTTTTCGCTTTTACCGAATTTAACGCATCATCACAGATTTTCCCCCATTGCTTCCTCCCATCTATTTTATTCACCTCATCTCCACCATTACATTTTTATGTACCCTTCTTAATTCTCTGTAAAGTGCCTCGGTTAAGACGCTACGTAAATTCCGCTAAGATCAGAAAGTGAAACGAGAGGGCGGATTATCCCTGACACTGGACAGATGAATGCCTCGCCGGGACCGATCCCGCCGTACCGCGCGAGTGGACGGTGAAACGCGTTTGGAACGCGCCCGTTGGAGGAGTCTGTGAAAGCTTCGATGGAGTCTCGCCGTGCTTTGACTTGTTGCAATGGTGGTTGTCGCTGCTGCTGCTGCTGTTTTGTCTCCTACGCAAAAAAAAAAACAGTATTGGAGCAGATCTGCACCATTTGCTGCAGCGAGTTCGTGCGCACAGATCAAGCCACCACCTTGCCCTGCCGCCATCTCTTCCACACGTCCTGCATCGAGCAGTGGCTCAAGAAGGTAGCGTTACACAAACTCTAATTTTGTTTCATATATTTATATATATATTTGAGCGATTCCATTGCAACAATCATAACATGTCTGTATGTGTGTTGAACTTCTTTCGCACAGTACGTAGCCAACTGTGCTAAATCGGAGGTGCGGGAGAAGGACAACAAACTAAAACGGTTGTTAACGAACTGAGTATTCAGTCTAGAAGATTTAAAAATACACAGCTCCCAGCAGCTTCCAAATATCGAAAGGAAGAGCGTTCCAGACGGCCGCAGAAGCGCATCTGAAAGCGCCGCGCGATGCGGTGGCCGTCTTCGTTTGATGGTTTTTGCTGAGATCTTTGTTTTGAGCCACGCATGTTTAAACTGCCACAGAGCTACCTGGCCCCTTGAGAGGCCGCTAGGGACTTAAACCCCATGCGCGTACATTCGCAAATTACCCCACGGTGATTTTCGCTTAGAAACTATGGCCAACGCACATGGCTCGTCTTCAGAATGTTGCAAGCTCGTAACTCCTTATCAGGGGTAGTCGTGGCCCATCATCTCTCACTGGTATATAAAATAAGTGCTGCTGTTTTGGAAACCAAGAGTTGATGTTTGAGCAATGGAAAGACTGCCCCCCCACCCCCTCCCCCGACGTCATAGAAATGTGGAATTCCCACCACCGGAATCAGGTTGCCGTTGAAGTTGAGCGTTGCCCTTGGCTTGCGTCAGCATAGAGCGGCCTCGGTACTTGGGAGTTGCCCGTGATTAGTTGCGTCCCCGGGTCAGCGTGGTTCATTTTTGCTGCGCTCCTCTTCCCCACTCTTGGCAGTCTGCCACGTGCCCCGTGTGCCGTTATCACCTGGTGGAGGAGGCTGCCGGGTCAACGCCGTCCCCTGCGCCACAGTACAGAGGATCGGGTCAAAGGTTGTGACCTCCCACGGACCCCGTACCCCATCTCCGTTCTCTCTGTCCAAAAACTGCCGTTCACATCACCGCTCGCTCGCTCGCTCGCTCGCTCGCTCACCCACTCGCTCATTCTATCAACTGAAATACAGTAGAAACTAAACAAAACTATTTTATCCGATAAGGCCTTCTGAGCTATGTAGCTCTTTTTCAGAAACGACCTGGCCACAAATGATACCTCAACGAAGTGGCTTATCACGTGGGAAAGTTATAGCAGCCAAATACTCCAAACGCGCGACGTTGATTCTCCTCGCACACTCTTAACCTAACCCTTTCCCATTTCCGAACGGAACCAGAAGAAAAAACAAAATAGAATACCTTTATCGGTACAGATGCTCCCACAAGGCCGTGCGGGGACGGAGTGAGGCGGCACAGTGTTGCCGCCAGCTATCGTAGAGTGCGGCGGTTGTGTCGCTGCAGTTCTCTGCGGTGAATAACAGCGTCTTGAAAAACAAAACCCGACGCCATGCCTCTCCATAAAATTAGCGCTGAACCGCTTGCGCATTTCCAAGATTCGGCGGTGAACCGGGGACACCCCACCCTGCAACTTGCAGTCACCTCGGACACGGGGAAGGGGTTAACTGACACGTTCACCCACAGCACTCGCCCGTCCCTTCGCTCACCTTCTCACTCTCACATGCCCTACACTCGCATGCACTCGCTCAAACCCTCGCGCACAACGCATGCTCTCTCTCACACACACACACACACGCACGCGTTGAAGCGCTCGCTTGAGTGCTCGCGCACACATTGCCACGCCGACTGGCGCGTAACTGACTTGCGTAAAACATCCACTCGCTCATCGCCCCCAAGCGGGTCAAACGGCTGGGGATTAATAAAACGAGCACATCTGGTGTGCGGAGCTTGCGTTTATCAATCGAACTTTATTTAATGCATCGCGCCCCCTTAACGATAAAAGCCACCACAGAACGCTTCACGTGTAAATGTAACATTGCAATATAATAATTAAAGGTACGCAAACTTGTAAACATTTATTCACGATTACAAATGTATGAAAGGGATTATAAAATACATATTTAGTCAATTTTGTATTGAGTTAATTTGTTTGTTCCCTGTATCAGATGTTGTTCATGATGCATTCGATCAGCACCCTGCCCCTTGAACAGCCTACACACTGCACTATGAACACCCTACACGCTGCACCATGAACACCCTACATGCTGCCCCTTGAACACCCTACACGCTGCACCTTGAGCACCCTACACGCTGCCCCTTGAACACCCTAGACGCTGCACCACGAACACTGTACACGCTGCACCATGAACACCCTACACGCTGCCCCTTGAACACCCTACACGCTGCACCATGAACACCCTACACACTGCACCATGAACACCCTACACGCTGCCCCTTGAACACCCTACACGCTGCACCTTGAACACCCTACACGCTGCCCCTTGAACACCCTACACGCTGCACCATGAACACCCTGCACACTGCACCTTGAACACCCTACACACTGCACTATGAACACCCTACACGCTGCACCTTGAACACCCTACACACTGCACAATGAACACCCTACACGCTGCACCATGAACACCCTACACGCTGCACCTTGAACACCCTACACACTGCACCTTGAACACCCTACACACTGCACTATGAACACCCTACACACTGCACCTTGAACACCCTACACACTGCACTATGAACACCCTACACGCTGCACCTTGAACACCCTACACACTGCACTATGAACACCCTACACGCTGCACCTTGAACACCCTACACACTGCACCATGAACACCCTACACGCTGCACCATGAACACCCTACACGCTGCACCTTGAACACCCTACACACTGCACCTTGAACACCCTACACGCTGCACCATGAACACCCTACACACTGCACCATGAACACCCTACACGCTGCCCCTTGAACACCCTACACGCTGCACCACGAACACTGTACACGCCGCCCCTTGAACACCCTACACGCTGCACCATGAACACCCTACACACTGCACCATGAACACCCTACACACTGCACCATGAACACCCTACACGCTGCCCCTTGAACACCCTACACGCTGCACCACGAACACTGTACACGCCGCCCCTTGAACACCCTACACGCTGCCCCTTGAACACCCTTCACCCTGCCCCTTGAACACCCTACACGCTGCACCTTGAACACCCTACACGCTGCACCATGAACACCCTACACGCTGCACCATGAACACCCTTCACCCTGCCCCTTGAACACCCTACACGCTACACCATGAACACCCTACACGCTGCACCTTGAACACCCTACACGCTGCCCCTTGAACACCCTACACGCTGCACCATGAACACCCTACACGCTGCCCCTTGAACACCCTACACCCTGCACCACGAACACCCTGCAAGCTCCCCCTTGAACACCCTACACGCTGCACCTTGAACACCCTACATGCTGCACCTTGAACACCCTACACACTGCCCCTTGAACACCCTACACGCTACCCCTTGAGCACCCTACACGCTGCACCATGAACACCCTACACACTGCACTATGAACACCCTACACGCTGCAACATGAACACCCTACACGCTGCACCATGAACACCCTACACCATGAACACCCTACACGCTGCCCCTTGAACACCCTACACGCTGCACCTTGAACACCCTACACACTGCACCACGAACACCCTGCATGCTCCCCCTTGAACACCCTACACGCTGCACCTTGAACACCCTACACGCTGCACCTTGAACACCCTACACGCTGCACCATGAACACCCTACACGCTGCACCATGAACACCCTACACGCTGCCCCTTGAACACCCTACACGCTGCACCACGAACACCCTGCATGCTCCCCCTTGAACACCCTACACGCTGCACCTTGAACACCCTACATGCTGCACCTTGAACACCCTACACACTGCCCCTTGAACACCCTACACGCTACCCCTTGAACACCCTACACGCTGCACCATGAACACCCTACACACTGCACTATGAACACCCTACACGCTGCAACATGAACACCCTACACGCTGCACCATGAACACCCTACACCATGAACACCCTACACGCTGCCCCTTGAACACCCTACATGCTGCACCTTGAACACCCTACACACTGCACCATGAACACGCTACACCCTGCCCCTTGAACACCCTACACGCTGCCCCTTGAACACCCTACACGCTGCCCCTTGAACACCCTACACGCTGCCCCTTGAACACCCTACATGCTGCAACATGAACACGCTACACGCTGCACCTTGAACACCCTACACGCTGCACCTTGAACACCCTACACGCTGCACCTTGAACACCCTACACGCTGCACCTTGAACACCCTACACACTGCACCATGAACACCCTACACGCTGCACCATGAACACCCTACACGCTGCCCCTTGAATACCCTACACGCTGCCCCTTGAACACCCTACACGCTGCACCTTGAACACCCTACACGCTGCCCCTTGAACACCCAACACGCTGCACCACGAACACCCTACACACTGCACCATGAACACCCTACACACTGCACCATGAACACGCTACATGCTGCACCATGAACACGCTACATGCTGCACCACGAACACCCTACATGCTGCACCATGAACACCCTACTCGCCGCACCACGAACACCCTACGCACTGCACAATAAACACCCTACAATCTGCAGAAACCGGACTGCCAATTTTGATACTCGGATTACGAACCACTCCCTGGTCCTCGTCATAGGAATGTAGAATTTCCGGCATTAGATTCGGGGGGCGCCGACGGACCGTTCGCTTTGTTGGTGCGTGGGAATGATTTTTGACGCATTGCCGTTCATGTAAGATGCATCCCCCTTGCAAATCCCAGACCGTGGCGTACAAGAATATGATTGTGAAATGGTCACTTGTTTTTTTTTTATGTCTTGTATATAATGTAAGAACGGCCCGCGTATAGCTTCGTGTTTATACCTTTGCCAAATTTGGCCAAAACGGCGATGCTGCGCGCAACGTGACGAAACAGAATCGATTGCTCGGCGGAAAACGCGAAGTTTTACTTTGCTCGATTTGCTCCAGGCTTTAAAAAGTGAACGCAGCGTAAATCCAAGATGTTTGTGTTTCCCAAACGCGTGAATGTTATTCGCTTGCATGTTTTGACTTTTGGAGCGTCACTGGCCAGACGTCGCCCCGGCTTGCCAGTTCCAAGTCGATATCTCACGCACCGCTGGTCAACTGCCTAATCGTTCCTTCGGGGTCGACTCCAAGCGAGGAGTCCGTTCCGTGGGTTGTCAACGGCGGTTGGATAGCCACGCGGCGCGACCCCCTTGCCCAAAAAAAATTTCCCTTGGGGAGTTTTCCCAGCTGCTGGCTCGTTGTGGCCACGTGGAGGCGAATTCCACTCCCGTTTTCACTCCCGCAGGGAGATGTTGGCTGCGCTGGTGGTGATGATTTGTATTATAATTGTTGAGAAATAAAGCACATTTTTTATCTGGTGCGACACACTTGTTTGTCAATTGCGTGCGTTCTGCTGCTGTTGCTGCGTTTTCGCGTTCGTAGCTGTACAGCTCTCGGGTTCGTACGTCTTCATCGAATGTCCGACGTTTCGCCCCCGCAAGCTGAGTGGGGGGGGGTGGAGGCTTCTTTGGGAACTACGACGTTTTTTAATTTTATTCGGTGGCAAAATCGTGACTTGGAATCCCAGCAGCCTGTGCGTCAAATATCCAGCAGGGTGACATCGCCGCTATTGCTGACGTTCCGCGTTTGGCTTCGTAACGAAATGAGCGCAAAGTAAAAAGGTGGCGTCGTGCAGACGCGCGCCAGCGTGCTGGGATTCCAGTGACGCCGTCGGAGGAGGCGCCTTGGTGCGCGGATTTAAACTCCTCTGCACGCAACGGTTGGCCGACTCGGTGGGGGCTTATTTTGGTCGCGTTAAGAGACATCTCGCCACGGCGGCGAGATGTCGATTACATCGCCTGGTATGGAGGAGGTCGTGGGCTCGACCCCGACGCCTGCTGCTGTATATTTGGAGTTTGCGCGTGGTCCCGTTCCCCGTGGTCACGTGGCTATTTCTCCGGGCCCTCGGGTTGTTTCCCTCCGCATTTAGAAACATGCCTTTAGAGTAATTTGGCTGCTTTAAATTTCCCACCGATGATGAGCCGCTTTATTGAGCGTTCATTTGTGATGGCCAAGTCGCTTCTGAAAAATAGCTACGTAGTTTGTGCTTGTCCTTCCCCCCCCCCCCCCGGCACCTCCGATTAGCACGGTTTGGCTACATACAGTGAGGGAAAAAAGTATTTCATCCCCTGCTGATTTTGTACGTTTGCCCACTGACAAAGAAATGATCAGTCTATAATTTTAATGGTAGGTTTATTTGAACAGTGAGAGACAGAATAACAACAACAAAATCCAGAAAAACGCATGTCAAAACTGTTATAAATTGATTTGCATTTTAATGAGGGAAATAAGTATTTGACCCCCTCTCAATCAGAAAGATTTCTGGCTCCCAGGTGTCTTTTATACAGGTAACGAGCTGAGATTAGGATCACACTTGAAGGGAGTGCTCCTAATCTCAGCGTGTTACCTGTATAAAAGACACCTGTCTACAGAAGCAATCAATCATATTCCAAACTCTCCACCATGGCCAAGACCACAGAGCTCTCCAAGGATGTCAGGGACAAGATTGTAAACCTACACATGTTCACTGCGAGGGACCCAACGCCAAAGATCCCCGGGGGTTTGAGCTCCTACGAAGCGGCCTCATGGTCCAACCCCTAAACCCGCATCGCCCACTGCTCAAACCGCGGCGGCGGCAGCAGCAGCAGCAGGTGCGGACGAGCTGCTGATGATGATGATGGTGATGCGCGAATGTAACGTTCAAAAACTCCGTGCGGAACGGAGAGACCTTCACGACGCAATTCCCCGGATCCGCAAGTGCGAAGGGAGAAGTCACGGCGGTGCACCGCTGCTGCTGCTGCTCGTGACGCGGGTTGCCCGGCGGCTTGAGCCACCTTGACCGTGAACATCGCCGAGTTTGTCGCTTTGCGGCATTCTACACCAGAAGCCGTACGAAAGAAGACGACGAGGACGAGGAGGAGGAGGATAAAGAAGACCCCACATCGAATAACCGGCGGCGTTCGAGGGAGCTTTAGCTGACGGCGACAACAGCGCGGAACCCACACACCGATGCGTTGCCCTCGCCCGGAAAAGAAAATAAAACTTTAAAAAAAACACGAGCAAGACGAACTCCACAAGACGAACTCCACAAGACGAACTCCACAAGACGAACTCCGCAAGACGAACTCTACAAGACGAACTCCGTAAGACGAACGCCACAAGACGAACTCCACAAGACGAACTCCACAACACGAACTCCGTAAGACGAACTCCACAAGACGAACTCCACAAGACGAACTCCACAAGACGAACTCCACAAGACGAACTCCACAAGACGAACAACACAAGACGAACTCCACAAGACAAACAACACAAGACGAACTCCACAAGACGAACAACACAAGACGAACTCCACAAGACGAACTCCACAAGACGAACAACACAAGACGAACTCCACAAGACGAACTCCACAAGACGAACAACACAAGACGAACTCTACAAGACGAACTCCACAAGACGAACTCCACAAGACGAACTCTACAAGACGAACTCCACAAGACGAACTCTGCAAGACGAACTCCACAAGACAAACAACACAAGACGAACTCTACAAGACGAACAACACAAGACGAACTCTACAAGACGAACAACACAAGACGAACTCCACAAGACGAACAACACAAGACGAACTCTACAAGACGAACTCCACAAGACGAACTCTACAAGACGAACTCCACAAGACAAACAACACAAGACGAACTCTACAAGACGAACAACACAAGACGAACTCTACAAGACGAACAACACAAGACGAACAACACAAGACGAACTCCACAAGACGAACTCCACAAGGCGAACAACACAAGACGGACTCCACAAGACGAACTCCACAAGACGAACAACACAAGACGGACTCCACAAGACGAACGCCACAAGACGAACAACACAAGACGAACAACACAAGACGAACTCCACAAGACCAACAACACAAGACGAACTCTACAAGACGAACAACACAAGACGAACTCCACAAGACGAACAACACAAGGCGAACAACACAAGACGAACTCCACAAGACCAACAACACAAGACGAACAACACAAGACGGACTCCACAAGACCAACAACACAAGACGAACTCCACAAGACGAACTCCACAAGACGAACTCCACAAGACAAACAACACAAGACGAACTCTACAAGACGAACTCCACAAGACGAACAACACAAGACGGACTCCACAAGACAAACAACACAAGACGAACAACACAAGACGAACTCCACAAGACCAACAACACAAGACCAACAACACAAGACGAACTCTACAAGACGAACTCTACAAGACGAACTCTACAAGACGAACAACACAAGACCAACTCCACAAGACGAACAACACAAGGCGAACTCCACAAGACAAACAACACAAGACGAACAACACAAGACGAACTCCACAAGGCGAACTCCACAAGACGAACTCCACAAGACGAACTCCACAAGACAAACAACACAAGACGAACTCTACAAGACGAACAACACAAGACGAACTCCACAAGACGAACTCCACAAGACAAACAACACAAGACGAACTCCACAAGACGAACTCCACAAGGCGAACTCCACAAGACGAACTCCACAAGACGAACTCCACAAGACGAACTCTACAAGACGAACTCCACAAGACGAACAACACAAGACGAACTCCACAAGACGAACTCCACAAGACCAACTCCACAAGACGAACTCCACAAGACGAACAACACAAGACGAACTCCACAAGACGAACAACACAAGACGAACTCCACAAGACCAACTCCACAAGACGAACTCCACAAGACGAACTCCACAAGACGAACAACACAAGACGAACTCCACAAGACGAACTCCACAAGACGAACTCTACAAGACAAACAACACAAGACGAACTCTACAAGACGAACAACACAAGACGAACTCCACAAGACGAACTCCACAAGACGAACTCTACAAGACGAACTCTACAAGACGAACTCTACAAGACGAACTCCGTAAGACGAACAACACAAGACGAACTCTACAAGACGAACTCTACAAGACGAACTCCACAAGACAAACAACACAAGACGAACTCCACAAGACCAACAACACAAGACGAACTCCACAAGACGAACTCCGCAAGACGAACTCTACAAGACGAACAACACAAGACGAACTCCACAAGACGAACAACACAAGACGAACGCCACAAGACGAACTCTACAAGACGAACTCTACAAGACGAACTCCACAAGACAAACAACACAAGACGAACTCCACAAGACGAACTCTACAAGACGAACAACACAAGACGAACTCCACAAGACGAACTCCACAAGACGAACAACACAAGACCAACTCCACAAGACGAACTCCACAAGACGAACTCCACAAGACGAACTCCACAAGACGCTGGGCGAGGGACGGAGAGGGAGGCGCCTGTCGCTTTCCCCGGCGTAGAGGCTGACTCGGCCCGTCCACCGTACGCATATGTTTGATATATAGTTGCGTGTGTAAGAAACAACCTAATATATCAAACATATCACACGGGGGACGTGCGGTGGTTGTTGTTTCTGGGGGGCCGGGGGGGGGAGGGGATGTTTCGCTTCTTCATGCGCCACCCACCCCCCTCTCCACCCCCGTCTCGCTCGCTCGCTCGCTCCTTCTCCAATCCCTCTGGAACACAACCGCGGTCCTGCAAACAAACGACCCAAGGGTATCACATCATCATCGTCGTCGTCATCATCATCGTCGTCATCGCATCATCATCATCGCCGTCATCCATCGTCATCATCATCATCGTCGTCGTCGTCATCGTCGTCATCATCATCATCGTCGTCATCGTCGTCGTCGTCATCATCATCGTCGTCGTCGTCATCATCGTCGTCGTCGTCATCACATCGTCATCATCGTCGTCGTCATCATCGTCGTCATCACATCGTCGTCATCATCATCGTCGTCATCATCATCGTCCTCGTCGTCACATCGTCACACAACATCATCACCATCACGAGTCTCGCGCCCACACTATGGAGGCGCTGCGCTGGCGAGATTTTAACTACCTCGCCTGGTATACAGAATTATAATAATAATGAGAATATTTATTGATACTGGAGTAATCCGATGAGCTATAAAGCTCTTTTTCACAGATGTCCAGTAGGGGCACCGGGTGAGAACGTCACATCAACAGTGACACAAACACGACACGTGAGGTTGCAGCTTCGATCCCGACCCTGAAGCCTGCTGTGTTTTTGGAGTTTGCGTGTCTCTCGTTCCCTCTCTCCACGTGCTGGTCGCGTGGATTTGTCTCCGGGAGTCCTCACCGCGCCTTCGGAGGCATTCGCCTGCTGAATTAAATGTCCACGTGACCCACGTCGACGATGATTATATCAGCCACTTTCGTTGAGCTCTCATTTCTGAGAGGCCAGGGTCGACTCGGCACAAACATACAGAGCTCTAGCGGCTCAGCGCGGGGCGGAGGGGGGGCCTTACCTGGCAAAAATATAGCTAAATATATACTTGTGAAAATCGTGAGCTACTACTTCAGTATAACCCTTGATTATTGGTCGACAAAAGTCGCCCACCGGTGGTCAGTAACCTCCGTGCCGCTCTGCTATCGCTCCTACCGCCCTGGTGATTTTTTTTCCCGGCGATCTTCACTCGTCGAGTCGACCACACACGTCGATGGCTCGCGTCTAACCACACACGGACCTCTCCGTCTCATCATCGCTACGCTGGAGGTCGCGACAAAGACGAAGACCCCCAATCCCCGGACAGCCTTGAACGGGGGCTGTTGGGGCGCAAGTGCCGTGTCAGCGAGCAAGCGGCGTTTATGAAGGTAATGGGGCGGGTGGCCAGCACCACGCCCGGCCGCCTTTGTCTTCCCACTGCTCATGTTTACACAGCGCGCCAGGTACCCATTTAAGGCTGAGTCAGCCTAGGGGAAAGCACAGGAGCGGCTCCGGTTCAAATAATATTCGCCACTGTTAGCCGTGAGTGGGATACACACTTGGGTCACCATATTCACGACCACTTACACGATGGCTCATGACAACACCCACTCACCCACCCACTCACCACATGTCAGACCACAACACACTCACCCATCTACCCACCCACTCACCCACCCACTCACCACATGCCAGACCACAACACACTCACCTATCTACCCACCCACTCACCCACCCACTCACCACATGTCAGACCACAACACACTCACCCATCTACCCACCCACTCACCCACCCACTCACCACATGTCAGACCACAACACACTCACTCTCCCATCTACCCACCCACCCACTCACCACATGTCCGACCACAACACACTCACTCACCCATCTAACCACCCACTCACCCACCCACTCACCACATGTCAAACCACAACACACTCACCCATCTAACCACCCACTCACCCACCCACTCACCACATGTCAGACCACAACACACTCACTCACCCATCTACCCACCCACTCACCTACCCACTTACCACATGTCAGACCACAACACACTCACTCACCCATCTACCCACCCACTCACCCACCCACTCACCACATGTCAGACCACAACACACTCACTCAGCCATCTACCCACCCACTCACCCACCCACTTACCACATGTCAGACCACAACATACTCACCTATCTACCCACCCACTCACCCACCCACTCACCACATGTCAAACCACAACACACTCACTCAGCCATCTACCCACCCACTCACCCACCCACTCACCACACTTCAGATCACAACATACTCACCCATCTAACCACCGACTCACTACTTCTGGAGCTACCGGGAGTCTCCGTCCCGTCCAAGTACCCACCATGGTCATACACCACCCACCCCGGCTGATCTGCTGTGATCTGACGAGTCGCAGGCAGCACCAGGAATGATACAATCATCTGACGACACGGGGTGCCACGGTGGCGAGGAGATGTTAACTACCTCGCCTGGTATGCAGGAGGTCGTGGGTTTGATCTCAACCCTGACGTCTACTGCTGTATATTTGGAGTTTGTGTGTCTCTCTCTCATCATCATCACGGTGGCTAGGAGATGTTAACTACCTCGCCTGGTATGCAGGAGGTCGTGGGTTCGATCCCAACCCTGACGCCTGCTGCGGTATATTTGGAGTTTGCGTGTCTCTCTCTCACCATCACGGTGGTTAGGAGATGTTAACTACCTCGCTTGGTGTACAGGAGGTCGTGGGTTTGATTCCGACCCTGACGCCTGCTGCTGTATATTTGGAGTTTGCGTGTCTCTCTCTCATCATCATCATCACGGTGGCTAGGAGATGTTAACTACCTCGCCTGGTATGCAGGAGGTCGTGGGTTCGATCTCGAACCTGACGTCTGCTTCTGTATATTTGCAGTTTGCGTGTCTCATCATCATCACGTTGGCTAGGAGATGTTAACTACCTCGCCTGGTATGCAGGAGGTCGTGGGTTCGATCCCAACCCTGACGTCGGCTGCTGTATATTTGGAGTTTGCGTGTCTCTCCCTCTCATAATCACCACGGTGGTTAGGAGATGTTAACTACCTCGCCTGGTCTACAGGAGGTCGTGGGTTCGATCCCAACCCTGACGCCTGCTGCTGTATATTTGGAGTTTGCGTGTCTCTCTCTCTCATCATCATCACGGTGGCTAGGAGATGTTAACTACCTCGCCTGGTATACAGGAGGTCGTGGGTTCGATCCCAACCCTGACGCCTGCTGCTGTATATTTGGAGTTTGTGTCTCTCTCTCCCCGTGGTCGCGTGGATTTTGTTTCCGGGTCCTCCGGTTTTTCCCTCCGCATATTTAGAGTGAACATCGCGACGCGTGTAGACTGTGTGGCTGCTGTAGAGTTCGACACGCTGATGAGAAGCCGCAACTTCGTCGAGCTTTCGTTTGTGGTGGCCAGGGTCGCTGCTGAAAAAATAGCTACAGAGCAGCTCAATGTGGGGCTTTAACCTGGTAAAATAAAATTATAATAATAATAGGGGTTTTCCCCTTTTTTTCTGGCAACAAAACTGAAACCGTTTTACAAGGATTCATGTCCGCATTAACCACAATACCTACAGTCAAAATGCAAACAAAAAACACATTATGACAATATATGATGCATTGTCCTTGAAACTGATTGGTCCACACCAAGGGACGGCTTTCTTTTGAGCCTCGACCCAATTGGTGCTCGACCAGAGGACGCCAAAAGGCGTCACACAGCTCAAAGACAATGCCGCTATCAAAGTAATGAGGGCTCGGGGTGAGCATCTACATCATTAGACCTCCTTTTGCCAGTACCAAAATGTAATAATAATAGGGTTTTCCCCCTTTTTTCTGGAAACAAAACTGAAATCTTTTTACAAGGATTCATGTCCGCATTCACCACAATACCTGCAGTCAAAATGCAAACAAAAAACATAATATCAGTTTTGTTGAGAGTAATAAGGGGAAAACCCCTATTATTATATTTTGATACTGGCAAAGGAGGTCTGATGATGAAAATTAAATTAGTTTAGTTTAACACGTAGGCTTTCGCGATGAATATCATCCATAATATAGGGTTTGGCTGTCCGCCTGATGAGGCTAGTTGTAATTACTGGCGAAACGTCGTACTCAGATTGTATTATGTTGTGGATTTGCTCTCCAACACATCGGTGTGCTGTACTAGTGACACATTCTGTTTGACGTGACAAACCTTACTAGTCGGCTGTGTCGGGTGGTGGCGGGTTTAACGACACATTCATATCATTTACGCGACCTATTAAAAAAAAATATGTGTTTTTTGTTTTCATAGTTTCTTTGTATCGAGTCATGTGATGAATCACCAAGAGACGAGACGCAATCCTACCCCGTGAAACACCGCACTGGGCAGACTCGAGGCGCCTCGACGGGGTGGAATCGTTCGTTGTCCTCGCGATGCGTCCACCACTTGGCAATGCGCAGAATTCGTCCCCCGGTGGAGAGAGGAGAGGAGAGGAGGTGGTGGTGGTTGTGGTGGTGGTCGTGGTGGTGGTGGACTTCCCTGGAGAAAAGTCGCACGCGCAATAAGGAAGGGCGGACAACACTGAAACACTCCACAGCAGAGAGCGTATTGCAAAACATCAACAACAAGCTACCTATAGTAATAGGTTTTACCCTTTTAACTGGCACAAAAACTGACACCTTTATTCAAGGCATCATGTTTGCAATAACCACAACACAAGCAGTCAAAATGCAAACAAAAGAGACAACTCTGATGCCTTGAATAAAGGTGTCAGTTTTTGTGCCAGTTAAAAGGGTAAAACCTATTACTATATCTTGTTACTGGCAAAGGAGGTCTCATAACAAGCTACCAGCTGTACTTTCGCCCCACTAACGAAGCCTCCCTCCTGCCTTATAAGTCGACATCAAACATCATCGTCGTCATCATTATCATCACCTTCATCATCATCACCCTCATCATCGTCATCATCATCACCTTCATCATCGTCGTCATCATCACTACCCTCATCAATGTTGTCATCATCACCACCCTCATCATCGTCGTCATCATCACCTTCATCATCGTCATCATCACCACCCTCATCATCGTCGTCACGATCACCTTCATCATCGTCATCATCACCACCTTCATCATCGTCATCATCATCACCCTCATCATCGTCGTCATGATCACCTTCATCATCGTCGTCATCATCACCACTACCCTCATCATCGTCATCACCACCCTTATTAACGTCGTCATCATCACCACCCTCATCGTCGTTATCATCACCACCCTCATCATCATCATCATCACCACCCTCGTCGTCGTCATCACCACCCTCATCGTCGTCGTCATCATCACCACCTTCGTCATCATCATCATCACCCTCATCATCGTTATCATCACCACCCTCATCATCGTCTTCATCATCACCACCCTCATCGTCGTCGTCATCATCATTACCACCTTCATCATCATCATCACCCTCATCATCATCACCACCCTCATCATCGTCGTTATCATCACCACCCTCATCATCGTCGTCATCATCGCCACCCTCATCGTCGTCATCATCACCACCCTCACCATCGTCGTCACCACTCCTATGCTCACGGACGCGACACATCAAGTAAACAGCTGATGCAATCGAATGCATCAAAAGCGACGTTCCGCCGTGTAGCCTGTCACAGACTGTAGGGGCAAGTGCTGTTAGCGAGTAGCAGCACCTATGAAGGCCGGCACGGCACACGAGGGGCTGGGTGGCCAGCACCACGCCCGGCCGCCTTTGTCTCCCCAGTGGCGATGTTTACACGCCTCACCACGTACTCATGTAAGGCTGAGTCGACCTAGGGGAAGCCCAGGACCGGTTCAGATAATCGTCACTGGTGCTTGTGTGTGTGCGTGTGTGTGCCTGTGTGAGTGTGTGTGGGGAGCGGTAGTGTAGTGGTTGGTGCGCTGTGAACCCCGGATTCCCGAGTTCGATTCCCGGGGGTGTGAGTGGCACCTCACCAGGGTGGGTGTCACGGGGGTCTGGGTGGCACCTCACCAGGGTGGGTGTCACGATGGTGTGGGTGGCACCTCACCAGGCTGGGTGTCACGGGGTGTGGGTGGCACCTCACCAGGGTGGATTTCACGGGGTGTGGGTGGCACCTCACCAGGCTGGGTGTCACGTGGTGTGGGTGGCACCTCACCAGGGTGGGTGTCACGGGGGTCTGGGTGGCACCTCACCAGGGTGGGTGTCACGAGGGTGTGGGTGGCACCTCACCAGGCTGGGTGTCACGTGGTGTGGGTGGCACCTCACCAGGCTGGGTGTCACGGGGTGTGGGTGGCACCTCACCAGGCTGGGTGTCACGTGGTGTGGGTGGCACCTCCCCAGGCTGGGTGTCACGGGGTGTGGGTGGCACCTCACCAGGCTGGGTGTCACGTGGTGTGGGTGGCACCTCACCAGGCTGGGTGTCACGGGGGTCTGGGTGGCACCTCACCAGGCTGGGTGTCACGAGGTGTGGGTGGCACCTCACCAGGCTGAGTGTCACGGGGTCTGGGTGGCACCTCACCAGGGTGGGTGTCACGTGGTGTGGGTGGCACCTCACCAGGGTGGGTGTCACGGGGGTCTGTGTGGCACCTCACCAGGCTGAGTGTCACGGGGTGTGGGTGGCACCTCACCAGGGTGGGTGTCACGGGGGTCTGGGTGGCACCTCACCAGGGTGGGTGTCACGTGGTGTGGGTAGCACCTCACCAGGGTGGATGTCCCGGGGGTGTGGGTGGCACCTCACCAGGCTGGGTGTCACGAGGGAGCTCATGGTGTCGAGTCGTCTCTTTATCACTTTCATATTTCGAGTGCCGCCCCGAGGGGGCCCCGGGTAGCCCGCACTTGTCACGAGGTGGTGGGCGTCACATGCTCTGCCCTGGCTGCGCGATGTCTCACAATGAACCTCCTGTGTGACACGAATGGAGTTGGCTGTGGTGATGAACCATCCGCCAACCAACCCAAACACCCCCCCCCCTCCCCAACTCATACGAGGGGTGGCAGTGCGGTTTACACCACAACAAGCAACAACAATCGCTCCTTCTATTCCCTTTGTGTGTCGGGGGCTGCCACGTGGGGCGATGCGCGAGTGACGGTAACGTGAAGGGGAACACAGCGGTGGAAAGCGAACGGAGTGGGGGCGGACGGGGGGACGGGGGCAGAGATGCCACTGCTAGGAGGCGAGCGGTGAACGGGAGCGGTCGAGAAATTTTGTTGAAACTTTTAATTGTATTTCACCAGGCGTCAGGCCCCCACTCAGCTGCTACGTGGCTCTTTTGCAGGAGCGACCCTGGCTATCGCAAATGATGGCTCGGCGAAGTGGGCTCATCGTCATCATCACCACTATCGCCGTCACGTGGGGATGTATAGCAGCAGACAAATACTCTAAACGCCGCGTCTGTAAATGTGGAGGGGGAAAACCGGAGGGCTCGGAGAAAAATCCACGCGATCACGGGGAGATAGAGAGAGAGAGAGACACGCAAACTCCAAATATACAGCAGCGGGCGTCAGGGTCGGGATAGAACCCACGACCTCCTGCATACCGGGCGAGGTAGTTAACATCTCATAGCCACGGTAGCGCCCCTGACTCTGACCCAAAAGGTCGAGAGGCTACAATAGCAGGAAGGAGACCCCCCCCCCCCCCCCCCCCCCCCCCCAGCGATTGTAATGAGTTTGAGTCGCGATGGATTTGCAATCTGGAGGTCGCAGGTTCGATTCCAATATCTTCTGGCGCGGCAGTCGACACGATGGGGGAGGGGGGGGGGGGTAGATGTTAACTACCTCGCCTGCTATACAGGAGGTCGTGGGTTCGATCCCGACCCTGACGATCCCTGCTGCTATATATTTGGAGTGTGCGTATCTCTCTCTCTCATCATCATCACGGTGGCTAGGAGATGTTAACTACCTCGCCTGCTATACAGGAGGTCGTGGGTTCGATCCCGACCCTGACGATCCCTGCTGCTATATATTTGGAGTGTGCGTGTCTCTCTCTCTCATCATCATCACGGTGGCTAGGAGATGTTAACTACCTCGCCTGCTATACAGGAGGTCGTGGGTTCGATCCCGACCCTGACGATCCCTGCTGCTATATATTTGGAGTGTGCGTGTCTCTCTCTCTCTCATCATCATCACGGTGGCTAGGAGATGTTAACTACCTCGCCTGCTATACAGGAGGTCGTGGGTTCGACCCCGACCCTGACGATGCCTGCTGCTGCTGTAGATTTGGAGTGTGCGTGTCTCGCTCTCTCTTACACGGTGGTCGCGTGGATTTGTCTCCGGGTCCTCCGGTATTTCCCCCTCCACATTTAGAATCAACATCACCACACGTTTAGGGTATTTTGCAGCAGTAAATTTCCACACGACGATGATAACCCACTTTGTAGAGCTACCATTTGTGGCCAGGTCGCTTCTGAAAAAGAGCTATACAGCTCAGTGGGCCTTACCTGGTAAAATAAAAATAGTTGAGTGTATTTTGAACATCCTTCGCACCGTACTAATAAAACTGTGCTAATCGGAGGTGCTATTAACTTTTAAACTATTAATAGTGTTATCGGTTTTAAGATATCCATCCAATACCAGCAGCTGTACAAATGGCTACATTCGCACCGTCGATTAGCACGGTTGGCTACGTACGGTGCGAAAGAAGTTCAACACGCGCACAAGACACTGATATGGGCCATACACGATTTGTGTTGTAAAAGTCGCGTTCAAATAAATAAATAAGGCGGCATGCGAGCGACACGTGTGTGTGTGTGTGCGCGTGTGTGTACGTGTGTGCATGTGTGTGCGTGTGTGCATGTGTGCGTGTGTGTGCTGGTGTGTGTGTGTGTGCGCGTGTGTGTGTATGTGCGTGTGCGTGCGTGTGTGTGTGCTCGGGGCTCCTCCAGAAACAACAAAAAAAGTACTATGGGTGGCAACGTGGAATGTTCGAATGCTCATTGCAGAGGAGAGGCTGCCACTCCTCTGTCGAGAGCTGGACCGGTAACGTCTGGACCACTGTGGTATTCAAGAGGTCTGGTGGAGCGGCTCTGGCTCCTGCCACCATGAGGGGTGGACAGTCCTCTACTTGGGGCAGGAGACTGCCAAACAACAGGGAGTGGCTCTTTTTCTGAACAAAATAATGAAGGGGGCGTGGGAGCGTGGCGGAGAGGTGTGGGAAGCCCCAGGTTACTTTGGGCTCGCCTTCCCATCACCCAGACGCGAGGAGTGGTGGTCGTGGTTACTTATGCCCTCACCGAAGACGAACATTCGTGGAGGGATGCAGGCAAGGCCGATGAGTCAGATGCCTTCTATGACCTCCTGTCACAGGTGCTAGCTAAAGTGGCCCCTCGGGGCAGAGTCATCTTGTTGGGTGACTTCAAGGCCCGAGTTGGTCATGATGCTGGCACCTGGTCTGGAGTGATTGGAAGGGATGGGCCAGATCAGCTCAATAACAACGGCTGGAGGCTGCTAGATTTTTGTACAGTCCATGGGCTTGTAATTACCAACATGCTGTTCCGGCATCGGCGCATCGACACAACATCATGGATACATGCCGGGTCCAAGCAAGAACATCTGCTGCACTACATAGTGATAGAACAGCGGATGCAGGCCCATGTACTTGACACCAGGACCTACTGTGGAGCTGATCTGCCACCTGACCATCGACTTGTCATCTGTAAGATGCGCCTGCTATTATTCCACTCCAGTGGTGGGTGTACACCAAGGTCCCCATTCAAACCCATAGTGGCATGGTCTCAGCTAGCTGATAACAGTTGCAGGCGAGAATTTCATTATCGCTTGCGGCTGGGGTTGGCATCGTCCCCCACTCCTCCTGATGTCGAGGGTAAATGGGAGAGGTTTAGGACTGTGGCTAATGCAGCTGCAATGGCTGCTTTGGGTACATGGTACAGACGTCTCCAGAGACCCTGGCTGACAGAGGTGTTCAGGCTGGCTCAGGAAAAGCGACAGGCCCACTCTCGTCGTCTACAGAATCCCACGTCAGAGAATGAGGAGGCTTACCGCAGCCTTCGCTCGGCGGGTCGGAGAGCCGTGAGGTGCTGCAAGGATGGGTGGTGGCCGCGGGTTGCTGAGGAGATGGAGTCTGCCTCAATGGCCCCCGATCGCAAATCTCTATTTAACTCCATGAAAAAAGTCACCTGCGGCGCCACATCTATTACCATCATTAGGGGAAAAAACGGTGATCCAATTTCCGACCCCCAGGAACAGGTTTGCAGATTTGCTGAGCATTTATGTGAGGTCCTGGGGGAGGCAAAATCCCTCAGCCTGTAAAAACTTCGTGGGACAAAGTGGGTATCACCCTGCTGAGGCTGCGGTGTCTCAAATATTGGAAAAAGAAGTCACCCCCTGTGAGTGGCTGGCTGAGGTGCCATCTGTTGAGGAAGTACTGAAGGTGATCCGGAGTCTGAGACCAGGAAAGGCACCGGGCAGAGATTACCTCCCAAGCGAAATGCTGAAGGAGGATGGCGTTTGTACAGAGACTGCCTTACATGACATCATAACAACAGTCTGGACCACTGGATGGGTTCCACAGTATTTGAAGGATGCCCTGGTGGTCCCCCTGTAGTTGTTACAGTCTGTGCGGTCCCCCTCTTTAAGAAGTAGTAGTTGTTACAGTCTGTGCGGTCCCCCTCTTTAAGAAGGGGGACCGCACAGACTGTAACAAATACAGGGGCATCTCACTCCTTAGTGTGCCGGAAAAGGTCCTGGCAAGGATTATTCAACATCGCCTTGCCAGGCAGGCTGAGGAGAGGCTTGCGGAGTCCCAGTGTGGTTTCAGGAAAGGGCGGTCCTGCACAGATGCCATATTTTCTGTCCGTCTGCTACAGCAGAGGTGTAGGGAATGCAAACAAGACCAACATCTCGGCTTTATTGACCTGGTCAAGGCCTATGATACCATCAGTAGGCCTGGGCTTTGGGTTGTTCTTCGTTCTTTCGGAGTCCCTGACCCTCTGCTCACAATCATTAAGGACCTTCTTGATGGTGAGCAGGCCCGGGTAAAACTACGTGGCCGGGAGTCCGAGCCATTCCCTGTACACCTTGGGGTGCGACAGGGATGTCCTCTGGCTCCCACAGTATTCAACATCTATTTCGAAAATGTATTTCGTGAAGCCTTAGGTAGCTGTACCAGAGGAATTTCCATCTGGTACAGATACAATGGGAGGCAGATCGATGCCCGCGTGCGGTCAAGCGATGGCTCCCTATTGCTCAACCATGTTATGTTTGCCGATGATTTGGTAATTGCTGCTCACTCAGAGGAGGAGTTGTAGGCGCTTCTGCTGAACCTGAAGCTTGCCACTAAGAGGTGGGGCCTGACCATCAGCCCCACCAAAACTAAGCACCTGCCTGGGTATTTTGTACCGTCGGACACTCCACCCCCACAACTCCCAATTGGTGATACGGCAGTTGTGGAGAAAGTGGAAAGTTTCCCATACCTGGGCAGTGTGCTCATGACCGGCTCCGGTTTAACAGCAGAGGTCTCACTCCGAATCAGTCGAGCGGCATTATCTTTTCATCGGTTGCGTAACGCTGTGTGGAAGCTACCTGGTCTGTCGCTCTGCAGGAAGCTTCAGGTCTTCTCGGCCACGGTCATTCCCTCCCTTCTCTACACTTGCGATACGTGGACCCCCCTAATGGAGCATCTTCGCCTGTTAGAAACATTTAGGCTGGCCTGCCTACGATCCATCCTGGGTTTAACCAGGCTGTATTGTGTGAGGAGCTCACAAATCCTTGAAAGATCTGGGCAAGGTCCCATCGGTGAGCTCCTCCGGCAGGCAAGGCTTCGTTGGCTGGGTCATGTAGCCCGCATGCCCAGCCACCGCATGCCGAAACAGCTTTTGTTCGGCCGGATCGAGGGGAATAAACGGGCGCGGCACGGGCTAGAGAAGAGATGGAGTGATGTGGTACAGGAGGACGTGGAGCTGAGTGAACTTGCCGATGACTGGTACCAGCGGTGTCATGATCGGCCTCAGTGGAGGAGGCTCGTGAAGGACGCTACTGGGCAGTTGGAGGCAGTCGCCCTCCAACAACAACGGAGGGCGGAGGAGCGACGCTCACAACAACGAGCGGAGCGCCGGGTGGCTAAAGCACAGCAAGTTGTCACAGTAGGGGGCACAGGTGGTGCATCAGCCAGTCATCTCAGTCATCTCAGTCAGTCGACCTGTGGCATCTGGGTCTTCTCCGTGACCTCCTGCCAGCTGGCGTTCGACACTTCACGTAGCCTCAAGGTGCACATGGCCTGGCACAAGCGTCGTGGTGACGTCCCCGCCACTTAGTGGCGAATGGCCGTTGTTGTTGTGTGTGTGTCCGTGTGTGCGTGTGTACGTGTGTGTGTGTGTTTGCGTGTGACCTGTATTTCGAAACGCTGAAACTGCTTATATATATACACACACACACACGCGTGTGTGTGTTTGTGATTAGAGTGCTCAATTTCTATCGCAGCAAACCTACTTGCTGCACTGCCCTACATCCGACAGCCATGCGACAACACGGACTGGCCGACAACGGTGAAGCCGTCATACCCCCGGGGGCGAAGTTCCAACTCACCGTCTATGAGATGGGAGTGCTCAATTTGCATCTACTTGCTGTGCTACCAATTCGCCGGTTTTCTTTCACCCGCCGGCTATGCGCAGATCCGACACGGCCATCGCGAGCCCCCTTGAAAAAAGGCTACGAAGCCCAGTGGTGACAATTCCACGTTCCTCTGGCAGGATCCGATCACTGTGGAATTTCTGCACCAGTTTAGCAAAAGGAATTTACCCACCCAGAGAGACCATTGAAGATCATGGCTTTGGCAAATCAGACCGGTGTTCGTTTTGCGCAGGCCATAGAGAACATGATGATGGTGTATAGAGCAACTTTAAAGCGCTTATCAGCTGTTTAATAATTACTACACACAAATAGCGTACTCTCTCGATTACAAGGTTCTCTGGAAAGTAAGACGCACCCCCCTCCTCCCGGAGTCAGCAAGGTTGTGTAAATGTCGTCACACGCGCACACAACACGCACACCGATCGCATTGCCCCAAACGTACCGAGACACCTTTCGCTTGGAGTACAGAGGGGGTGAAAACAGAGCGTCTTGTAACACGGTATTAAGTGTCGTAACGATTGCAAAGATGATAAGCAGTTATATTGCTAGATCCATCATCATCATCATCATCTCTCTTGGGGGGGGGGTAAAATAAGTACCGCCTGATTGGTAACATCATCATCATCATCGGCTATCTCGTGGTATAAAAGTGCCACCTCATCATAATCTCTAGAGGTGGTTAAAGCGAGCGCCAGCTGACTCAATAATACGGCTGAAAAGTTCGGAATCAGCATCATGAAACTTTATGAATCCTGCAGGAGAAATCCGATGAGCTGTAAAGCTCTTTCTCTCTCTCACACATGTCCAGTAAGGGGCACTGGGCTCAGGAATGGCAGTGGGTGCGGCAACTCACCTCGTTGAGCCGTTTCGCACGGAGGTCGGTCGGAGCCACGCGGAGCCACGCGAAGCCACGCGGTCGTCAGAAGCCACGTGGTCTGGGACGGGATCCCCTTTGTATTCGACAAAGACAACCGCGTGGGTGTGCGGTGAGACGGAGGGGGCTGACGGAGCTGTCCACCGCAAGGTGAAGAGCAAAGCGCCTCGCATCGCCGTTCGCTTGGCACGGCGGTGGGGGAGAGGGGGGGGTAAAAAACACAAAGAGTCAAACCTCACAATCACTGGAGGCGCTAAAATTTTAATAAATACTTTGGTTGTAATTGATAGGATAAAGAGGGTAAGTTTAAATCTTACTGAAAAGACTCAAGAAATATACACGCACATATAGAGACGAATGTCACCTGTTTGTACGAATGAAACCGACTGCACACTTAAAATAGACTTTTTCTTTTTTGAAACATTGGTTGTCATTTTGATGAGATGGATGGTAAAGAATGGAAGTGCATTGTGCGCTGTGCCCATGAGTTCAGTAGCACCTCGTGTCGTGTCAAGAAGGCAGGTGGCGAATTGACAAAATCACACACACACACGGGTCTGCCATCACCACACTCTGTCTCTCTCTCATTCACACACTGATCTCTCTCTCCATCCCACACTACTATCTATCTCTTTCTCTCCATCACCCACTTCTATCTCTCTCTCCATCAAACAATACTATCTCTCTCCATCACACACTACTATCTCTCTCCATCCCACACTACTATCTCTCTCTTCATCAAACAATACTATCTCTCTCCATCAAACAATCCTATCTCTCTCCATCCCACACTACTATCTCTCTCTTTCTCTTCATCACCCACTTCTATCTCTCTCTCCATCAAACAATACTATCTCTCTCCATCCCACACTACTATCTCTCTCCATCACACACTACTTTCTCTCCATCCCACACTGATCTCTCTCTCCATCACACACTAATATCTCTCTCCATCAAACAATACTATCTATCTCCATCCCACACTAATATCTCTCTCTCCATCCCACACTACTATCTCTCTCTCCATCAAACAATACTATCTCTCTCCATCACACACTACTATCTCTCTCCATCCCACACTGATCTCTCTCTCCATCCCACACTGATCTCCCTCTCCATCACCCACTACTATCTCTCTCCATCAAACAATCCCATCTCTCTCCATCACACACTACTACCTCTCTCCATCACACACTAATATCTCTCTCTCCATCACACACTACTATCTCTCTCCATCAAACAATCCCATCTCTCTCCATCACACACTACTATCTCTATCTTTCTCTCCATCACCCACTACTATCTCTCTCCATCCCACACTGATCTCTCTCCATCCCACACTGATCTCCCTCTCCATCACACACTACTATCTCTCTCTCCATCACACACTACTATCTCTCTCCATCACACACTAATCTCTCTCCATCACCCACTACTATCTCTCTCCATCCCACACTGATCTCTCTCCATCCCACACTGATCTCCCTCTTCATCACACACTACTATCTCTCTCTCCATCACACACTACTATCTCTCTCCATCACACACTAATCTCTCTCCATCACACACTAACATCTCTCTCCATCACACACTACTATCTCTCTCTCCATCCCACCCTCTCGTCAGTCGCTCTTTTAAACAAAATCCCGGCTCCCTGAGCCCCCACCCCACGCAGCCCGCCCCGCCCACCCGCCCTCCACACAACAGCTCCGTCAAAGACAAAGATGCCCCGTAAAGCCTCAACCAGACTGTTGGGGCAAGTGCTGTTAGCGAGCACCTATGAAGGCCGGCATTGCACGCGAGGGGGTGGGTGGCCAGCACCACGCCCGGCCGCCTTTGTCTCCCCAGTGGCGATGTTTACACGCCGCACCAGGTACTCATTCGAGGCTGAGTCGACCTAGGGGAGGCCCCGGACCGGTTCAGATAATCGTCACTGATGTTGGTGGCCGTGAGCGGAAATTGAACTTGGGCGGTCGGGTTCGTAGCGCAGAGCGCTAAGCGCTACACTGGAGCACCCTCAGCAAACACACCCCACAATCGCACACACACACTGACATGAACACACACACACACTGACATGAACACACACACACACTGACATTAACTCTCACACACACACACTGACATGAACACACACACACTCACATGAACACACACACACACTGACATGAACACACACACACACTGACATGAACACACACACACACTGACATGAACACACTGACATGAACACACACACACACTGACATGAACACACTCACATGAACACACACACACACTCACATGAACACACACACACACTGACATGAACTCACACACACAATGACAGTAACTCTCACACACACAAACACTGACACTAACTCTCACACACACACACTGACACTAACTCTCACACACACACACTGACATGAACTCACACACACACTGACACTAACTCTCACACACACACACTGAAACTAACTCACACACACACTGACACTAACTCTCACACACACACTGTCATCAACCATCAAACACACTGACCCTCGCAAACACACACACTGACATGAACTCACATAGAGATACACATACACCCACACACACCACCACAATCGCACACACACACTGACTAGAACGGACACACAGACACACAGACACAATTTCATCCCACCAAACTCACTCACACTCACCCCACCAAACTCACTCACACTCACCCCATCAAACTCACTCACACGACCCACCAAACTCACACTCACTCCACCAAACTCACACTCACGCCACCAAACTCACTCACACTCACCCCACCGAAGTCACTCACACTCACCCCACCAAACTCACTCACACCCACCCCACCAAACTCACTCACACTCACCCCACCAAACTCACTCACACTCACCCCACCACACTCACTCACACTCACCCCACCAAACTCACTCACACTCACCCCACCAAACTCACTCACACTCACCCCACCACACTCACTCACACTCACCCCACCAAACTCACTCACACTCACCCCATCAAACTCACTCACACTCATCCCACCAAAGTCACTCACACTCACCAAACTCACTCACACTCACCCCACCAAACTCACTCACACTCATCCCACCAAAGTAACTCACACTCACCAAACTCACTCACACTCACCCCACCAAACTCACTCACACTCACCCCACCACACTCACACTCAACCCACCAAACTCACTCACACTCATCCTACCAAACTCATTCACACTCACCACACCAAACTCACTCACACTCACCACACCAAACTCACACTCACCCCACCAAACTCACTCACAATCACCCCACAAAACTCACACTCACCCCACCAAACTTACACTCACCACACCAAACTCACACTCACCCCACCAAACTCACTCACACTCACCCCACAAAACTCACTCACACTCACCACACCAAACTCACACTCACCCCACCAAACTCACTCACACTCACCCCACCAAACTCACTCACACTCACCCCATTAAACTCACTCACACTCACCCCACCAAACTCACTCACACTCACCCCACCAAACTCACACCCCACCAAACTCACTCACACTCACCCCACCAAACTCACTAACACTCACCAAACTCACTCACACTCACCCCATCAAAGTCACTCACACTCACCAAACTCACTCACACTCACCCCACCCCACTCACTCACACTCACCCCACCAAACTCACTCACACTCACCACACCAAACTCACTCACACTCACCCCACCAAACTCACTCACACTCACCCCACCAAACTCACTCACACTCACCCCACCAAACGCACTCACACTCGCCCCACCAAACTCACTCACACTCACCACACCAAACTCACTCACACTCAGCAAACTCACTCACACTCACCCCACCAAACTCACTCACATTCACCCCACCAAACTCACTCACACTCACCACACCAAACTCACTCACACTCAGCAAACTCACTCACACTCACCCCACCAAACTCACTCACACTCACCACACCAAACTCACACTCACCCCACCAAACTCACTCACACTCACCCCACCAAACTCACTCACCCACCAAACTCACTCACACTCACCCACCAAAGTCACTCACACTCACATCACCAATCTCACTCACCCAACACTCACCCAACACTCACCCTACACTCACCCTACACTCACACAAAGTCACCCCCCCCCCACCAAACTCAGCCAGAGGCACCCTGAGGCCCTGTTCGTCACGTGATGGCAACTCGCTGATGCGCTCCCTAAATCGCTCTAATTAATTTGCACGTATTGATCTTCCGTGACGCTGTGTTGAGCATCCAGCGTGACCCCGGGGGCTCTGAGAACGGTGGGAGGTGAGGGGCATGAGGCATTAGGACGTCATTGGCGGTTCGCACAGTCAGTTTGTTCAGACTAGCTTGGTGATATTTCGTTGAGCCACTTTGTTGAGCGGCTGTTCTGTGTGGTATCCAAGTCGCTTCTGAAAAAGTAGTTAACACCTCAGTGCGCTTTTCTAGGATGGGATGGTTTAGTGTTGTAGTGTAGCTGTTAGCGCGCTGCGCTATGAACCTGGGGGACGCGGGTTCGATTCCCGCTCACGGCCAACACCCAGTGACGATTATCTAAACCGGTCCTGGACCTCCCCTAGGTCGACTCAGCCTGAAATGAGTACCTGGTGCGGTGTGTAAACATCGCCACTGTGTATGTGCGTGTGTATGCGGAGCCCCAATGCGGTTTCAGGAAACGGTGGTCCTGCACAGATGCCATATTTTCTGTCCGTCTGCTACAGCAGAGGTGTAGGGAATTCCAACAAGACCTACATCTCTGCTTTATTGACCTGGTCAAGGCCTATGATACCATCAGTAGGCCTGGGCTCTGGGTTGTTCTTCGTGCTTTTGGAGTACCTGACCCTCTGCTCAAGATCATTAAGGACCTTCATGATGGTGAGCGGGCCCGGGTAAAACTATGTGGCCGGGAGTCAGAGCCATTCCCTGTACACCTTGGGGTGCGAAAGGGATGTTCTCTGGCTCCCACATTTTTTTACATCTATTTTGACCACGTAGTTCGTGAAGCCTTCAATAGCTGTACCGGGGGAATCTCCATATGGTACAGATATAATGGGAGGCTGATCGATGCCCGGGTGCGGTCAAGGGATGGCTCCCTATTGCTCAACCACGTTATGTATGCTGATGATTTGGTAATAGCTGCTCATTCAGAGGAGGAGTTGGAGACGCTGCTGCTGAGACTGGAGCGTGCCACTAATAGATGGGGCCTTACCATCAGCCCCACCAAAACTAAGCACCTGCCTGGGTATTTTGTACCATCGGACACTCCACCCCCACAACTCCCAATCGGTGATGGGGCAGTTGTGGAGAGAGTGGAGAGTTTCCCATACCTGGGCAGTGTGCTTATGACTGGCTCCAGTTTAACAGCAGAGGTCTCACTCCGAATCAGTCGAGCGGCAATATCTTTTCATCGGCTGCGTAATGCTGTGTGGAAGCTACCTGGTCTGTCGCTCCGCACTGAGCTTCAGGTCTTCTCGGCCACAGTCATTCCATCCCTTCTCTACGCTCGCGAAATGTGGACCCCCCAAATGGAACATCTTCACCGGTTAGAAACATTTAGGCTGGCCTGCCTACGATCCATCCTGGGTTTAACCAGGCTGGATTGTGTGAGGAG